TACTAGTGTAACGTGATTACTGCTGTAATTAAATCTCGCACGTTACATAGTTACGGCTACAGTACCACTTGTACTAGTGTAACGTGATTACTGCTGTAATTAAATCTCGCACGTTACATAGTTACGGCTACAGTACCACTTGTACTAGTGTAACGTGATTACTGCTGTAATTAAATCTCGCACGTTACATAGTTACGGCTACAGTACCACTTGTACTAGTGTAACGTGATTACTGCTGTAATTAAATCTCACACGTTACATAGGTACGGCTACAGTACCACTTGTACTAGTGTAACATGATTACTGCTGTAATTAAATCTCACACGTTACATAGGTACGGCTACAGTACCACTTGTACTAGTGTAACATGATTACTGCTGTAATTAAATCTCGCACGTTACATAGTTACGGCTACAGTACCACTTGTACTAGTGTAACATGATTACTGCTGTAATTAAATCTTGCATGTTACATAGTTACGGCTACAGTACCACTTGTACTAGTGTAACGTGATTACTGCTGTAATTAAATCTCGCACGTTACATAGTTACAGCTACAGTACCACTTGTACTAGTGTAACGTGATTACTGCTGTAATTAAATCTCGCACATTACATAGTTACGGCTACAGTACCACTTGTACTAGTGTAACGTGATTATTGACAACAATCGTAACACTTGTTTCAGCCTCACCACAACAGGATGGAGGACCTTCTGTTAATGGGCATTCACGTAGTCCACCTAGCTCAGCATCTCCATCAAGGTTTATGTATACCTGCTCCAATAGTCTCCCGTCATCTCCCGTAAGGAAGCTGTTATTCGAGGTGAGCATTTTTACTTTTCCTCTGAACTGTTCTTGAAAATGTTTACTAGTGGTATTCTCGTATTACAACTGATACGAGACCCCATCAGGTCACCTTAACTGCAACGCTCAGTGTTGTAAAGCCAATGAATATACATTTTATAATAGTTGTTCAAGAATAGGTTTTAAATTAATACTCATTTCTATATAACAAATTGCAAGACTAATATAACTTAGAGTACCTTTTGATAGACTAAACATAAGTGCTAAAAAAAAAACTACTTGAATACTGTATCCAAAAGACACATCATTTTTGCTGATTTATTAAACCTAATCCTGATTATCACATATTGTATAGACCAAAATGACATAGAAGGGATAAAAATGCAAGGTCTATGGTGTATGTCTTCCCACTGAGCAAGAATTTTCTAAATAATTTCATTTTGAATAATCTGACCTTTTGTCATAAATATTAGTTCTGTTTTGTGTAACTGCCTCAAAAGTCCACTCTTATTCGCAAGATTTCTACCAAGAATGCTTTGTTTGCAATCTGCCATAATCCACAATAAATTAGTTTAAACTTTTTCTTTTTTATCAAGTAAGCAATCAAGAATGTTTCTTTATTGCATTAAAGTTTTGTACGTATACTTCAGATTAAAGAATTTCAAATGTATCTAAGTTGGGTTTGTCCGTTTTCAGACATCATCCACGATACCCCAACTGTCTTCTTCTTTGCCGTCATCTCAGATCCAAAACAACACTGAAATGGGTTCAGAAGATATGATGTTATAGAGTATTTAAAACTATTTTATGATTTATGTGTGTGTGTTTTTGACTTTAGAGAAGAAACTTGCTAGATTTTGACCGTATACTTGCAAACAGTTTTCTTTCCATCTCATTTTTGTTTATTTTTTAAGTCAATCGACAAAGTTATTAGTGTACTTGTTGCTTAAAGATGTAAAATTGGGGAATATGATGGTGTACATCTTAGCATAAAACAAAAATGTTAAGAGCAAAGCTTAAAGAAACATCCAGAAAAAATATATAAGAGAAATAACTACTTTGAGTTACAAATATCTCTATGAAGCATTGTTTGGAAATGACATGTCATTTAAGCATGTTCTTGCAGAAGCATGGGTTAAAAAAACTTATTTTTCTCTGTAATAATTTACTTTTAGGCCTAAACGTTATGAAAAAAACAAGTCATTGGATTGATCAATTTATTCGTAGAGAAAAACTTGTTTTCATTATACATTTGTGTCTTTTCTTTTACAACGTACTCAGAAACATCTTCATGAGAGTAAATTTATTTTAAATGCATTGAAACTGTGGTCCTACTTAATTATTAGACGATTTGTTATCGAGTTCGAGTTGTGAATGAGTGTCAGGTTTGAATGATAAAAGATCACAACGTATGAAATGTGCATGATGAAAGATTGTAACAAGACTGTCTGCTTTATTAAATCATGTTTCTTTGTCTTTTAGAATTGTGAACTCACAGCTTATACATTGACAAAAATGATGTTCCTAGGTGTGAGAAGTACGTTTTTTTTTTGTGTTCATATATAACTGTATAGTTCTTTGTTGGTTACGACAACCTTCAGAATCTCTTGACGTGTACAGTGGTACATTAATTGGAAATGTAATTCCAATTCTTGTAGTTTGTTTTTGGGTTGAAAACTATCAAATCAACCGAAACAAATCCTTCCAAGCGAGAGTATAATGTTTATAAGTTTTAGTTCTCCATTTCCAGTGCTAAGTAGGTGTGGCAAATAAGCAATGTGGAAATATTCAAGTCCTTGGAATCGTCATCAAGGACGTTTGTTAACAAAATTATATTTCATCGTAAGCTTTTAGTACTTTTTAACATCCATCAAAGGCTGCAGTATCAGTAATAAAAATAATTATCAGCTTAAAAAAATTCCAGCGTTTTCATTAATTATAAGCAAATCTCTTGTATTGTCTAATGTACATTGATATGGTAACAAGAAATGTAATACCAATTCTTGTATGGTTGTTTTTTTCTGCCTCAAAAACTACCAAATAGACTAAAAAAAAATCCTTTCAAAAGGATATTTAAATAATCTATTATCAACGACAGGTATTTTACAGATCTTTTGGTGCATCAATAGAAGTATGTCAAACTTGTGGCTGTGATCTTATTTTAAAATATTTCTGTTTGTTACTGTATAGCGTCTTTGTTCAATTCTTTAAAGAATAAAATTTTCCAAACCAAACATAACCTTATCCATCCATAACTTATAAAAATAAACAACTTTTATGTTGAGTAAACTGTGGAAAAGATGTATAAAAAAACAACAACTAAAAATATAGAGGTTATAAACTGTGGAAAAGATGTATAAAAAAACAACAACTAAAAATATAGAGGTTATAAACTGTGGAAAAGATGTATAAAAAACAACAACTAAAAATATAGAGGTTATAAACTGTGGAAAAGATGTATAAAAAACAACAACTAAAAATATAGAAGTTACTAGAAGTCTTTAACATGCTTAGAAATAAAAGATAATATGTTTTTTAGCTAGTATGTAGTTTTCTAAATACAAAAATGAGATTCGAAGAGATACTGTATTTTATATGATTCGTAGAGTACAAAGGATTTAATTTGTTTATTAAATGTTAAACCATTGTAAAATTTAAATGTACAGCTACAACAGTGGGTTAGTATGATATGCTAGCTTTATATAAAGAGGTAATACTGGAAATTAACGAACCTTATTGCTACTGCTACATTTTTCAAGTATATTTGAAATACGATTCAAATTACTATAAACTGTTTTACTCAATAAAACGTGTGATCGGAGAAATGAAGAACGTTGGTAAGAAGCAGTTTTACGGTTGCCGATGCAACATGCTAGCGTCGGCTCCCACTCTTGCTATTAATTACTTCATTATTAAGTATGTGCCTTTAATATTTTGGTGGAAAAGAATTTACAGTTAGTCATTATTTAGTAGTTTTTCTATCTAAACAAGACTAGAAATAACTGTGTCATGTTCTAACTGTTAAAACCATCTTTATTAGCTATAGTTTAATTTGTTAAAAACAAGGAAGCAAAGATTGTCACCAGTTCTACAAATCAAGGCTTTAAAGCTTTTATATAAATATATTACATATATGTACCAAAATATCTTTAATGTATGTTCATCAATTTTGTAAGAAAGATCCAAATACTTGTGCTTTTTTAATTAATTGTTGAGCAAGCAGGTTAGACTGAAGGATTGTTTGAAATTGAGAGCTTCGACTTTATTAGATGATGGTTTGTTTTTGATATATATATAATAAAATTTTTACTGTTCTTCATGGTTTTCCAAGTTAAATATTAGACTAGTTGTTTTCTAAGTATCCAGAGAAGCTCATGAAATGATCACCTGTTTTTTAGCATTCCTGGAAAACTCGTGAAATGATCTTTTATTATTAAACATCCTAGAGTTATGTATGTTACATATTCTTATCGAAAAGTTTCAATGTAAAATTATAGAAATAAAAATTCTGTTAGAGTAGTTTTCAAGATAAAACTGAGAATGTTCATGAAAGTTTCATAGTTAAATACATTTTGGGTATATTAAAAACTGTCTTGCAGATATTATGGCCATTGATTTAGTGTCTTAATGAAAGATAAAACCCTACTATACATCGTTCTAATATACACTTCTTGTCAGGGGTCTGATAATTGTCCTTATACGCAAGTAGCACTTACTATAAAACCCTACTATACGTCGTTCTAATATACACTTCTTGTCAGGAGTCTGATAATTGTCCTTATACGCAAGTAGCACTTACTATAAAACCCTACTATACGTTGTTCTAATATACACTTCTTGTCAGGGGTCTGATAATTGTCCTTATACGCAAGTAGCACTTACTATAAAACCCTACTATACATCGTTCTAATATACACTTCTTGTCAAGGGTCTAATAATTGTCCTTATACGCAAGTAGCACTTACTATAAAACCCTACTATACATCGTTCTAATATACACTTCTTGTCAGGGGTCTGATAATTGTCCTTGTACGCAAGTAGCACTTACTATAAGAAGGATGCTCTCGTCTAGATAATGACAGATGTCTAGAGAAATCTGCTTTCATTGTTATTTGAAAGGTGGGTGCTCTGAAACCAGGAGCGGTTTACGTGTGATTTATGGAAGGGGTATTACCTTGAACTACTGACTACACACCCCCATGATATATTAATACATCTTCACAGAAAAGGCTACTACCTAGTCCTCATACCAATGTCCCCAAGTGCAGTCATTTACAACACGTGACCATGGTCACATTGTTTTACCTGCTTACGGACTCGTTTTTAGCCATTACATCAGATCTGGGTGAAATAGTGTCGACAGGCTTTAACTCCACACACCTTATACATAGCAACCGTTCACATTGGATGCTGTGAAGTCAATATTAATTTCTTTCAAATATGGCTTTTGGCACAATTCTTAAGTAAAAGTTTGTTGGGTATCAAGAACATTTCTTAGAAGTTGTATGAAAAATACTTGTACCAAATAAATTGGCATCTATTGGCCAAACTTGATAATAACTTTTAACAATTTATAAAATGGCAAACCTGACACCACACTAACTTAAAAAATATTTTAAAACTAAAGTACGACATTTAAAATTACACATTTTTAGCATGTTCATGAAACCAATCTGTCTGGTTTTCTATTTTTCCACGACAGTGAAGTGAAGTAATGGGTAATCATTAACTGCTGTTAACGAGAGAATTCATTTTCAGGAACTTGATCACTTGAAGTCTTCATTATTATAAACATTTTAATTTTTAGTTTCTTGAGTCTTTATTTATTATTTAAAACCTTCACCCAGTTTGGCCAATAGGTTATTTTCTGATAACAGTATTTTTACAGCCAGTTATAATGAAGAACTGGTGTCTTCCTCTTTTAAATATGATACATCACATTTTTAACCCTCTACCACTGACCTAACCTTGAAAAATGGGTTAGAAAGCCATGTTGGAATTCCTTTTCAACAATGATATAATCCCATCCTTCTTCATGTTACTGGTTGACTTTAGCTTCTCACAAGCTACCCCCCTTGGACAGTGTTGACGACGAGTCAGATGGTGTATCCTGTCTAACGCTAATGTCGTCTCGTCCAAATAATCTCATCATTATTGTAAATTAAAGAAGTTTGAATTGTAAGTTTTAATACAATTTAATTTAATTCTTAAATCCAGAAATCAAGGACTCCGTTAAAAGGTAGTTAAGAAGTAAAGCTTGGGTTTGTATTTTTCACCCTACGAAGGCTAAACTAAACAACTGTGAAGTATGTTTTTGTTTTCTCAAGAAAAAAAAAGTTTTATTCCAGAATAATAATTTCAAACTTCCATAAATGGTTGTACAGTTTTTTGCCACAGACATACGTAAATCCCAGATGGATCTCTAAACTGTAATAAAAAATTAAACATCGGTATTAAAAGAGCATCTTTAATCATCAGTTATATATAGTGTATACACACATACAAAACCTGCCAATACCATATTCATCACGTTAAATAGTGAATAAACCTTATGATGGATGTAGTTAGTCTGGTATTCACTGTGGTCCCACTCGTTAAGTACTGTGTTTATCGGCTCTTAACTTCTGGTGTACTTTCCCCAGATGTGGAGCATAAAAACTGAGGCAATGAACAACAGACTCATGACCAGCACTGGCACAGGTCCTCTGGAAGACAGAAATTCTATGTTAGAGTCCTTCAAATAATCCTCTTATTTTCTTAGATTTAACAACTAACCAGTTTTACATCCCAGCAATTACATTTTAATGTACTTGATAGATGCTCATTGGATAACAGATACTGTTAGGTTTGTTGTAAACACTGTACTCTCTAGTTCTGATTATAATCTGACAGAAACTAGATGTAACTACTAACTTTTTTTTTTCATATATCAAGATTTTACAATATTTAACAGTGCACAGACAATCTACAAGATATGTTAATACTTTTAAGATGATTAAGTATGACGAACTATATTATGAATCGTGGATTTAAGCAAATTTTGTTTCATAAAATCATATAGAAAGTCTAGTATATATTTTTACACACATCGTCATCGCCTTTTGTTAAACACTTACACTTTAATACCGGGTGAATCATCGGTGTAAAACCTCCACATACCACCAGTGCCAGCGGGAACTCCACCTCTCGAATGTCCACCTCCACTGGCTCCAGAACCAGGTTTCCTAAGATTATTATTCAAATGGATAAAGTTAAACATATCTGATGTTATTAAAGATCACTAGATAAAGGACTTCCATATTAATATTTTATCATATGTACAGTTTTTGAAGAAACATTAGCAATCTGTTTTACCTACTAAAGGTTTTTTTTTATAAGTCTACGATGATCTTACAATAGCCTCAACTTTATACCATTTTTACTTAGTTTTATTGAAATATACAAATTTTTAATTTAAAGAAGTATTAAACCTTGTCTTATGCATCTAAACAACAATATAATAAACTAAATAATATCCTCCTTCACATTGTAACTTAAGATTTCTAAGTTACACCAATAATACTGAGTACTGCAGCCAAAAACTATAAGCAGGGTTTTATGTACTGATGAGACTTTCATTTGAAATATTATGTTTAAGTAATCACTCGAAATATATCTATGAAGATTACAGTTAGAGTGAAATATGAGGAATTTTAACTTTGATAAAGTATTGGAAATGTGCACTAGATTACTAGGCTAATTTTAAAGGTGAAATACATTGTTTAAATCAACAAAACAATAACACAAATTACTTTGAGAAGACATTACCATTACGGTAGTGAGATGAAACTATCTAGTAAGGATATTGGAAAAAAAAAACAGCAGAAAATATACAAAATAAAAAGCTTTAACAAGAAAGAAACGTCACAAGTCTATTTCACAACAAAAACTACTGCAAAGCTAAGTTGAATGTTAACTGACGTGTCTTACCTCTGCTTTACTGTCGAGCCTCCAGTTGATCGCGGAGACATAGCTTTAGGAGAACGACCTCCTCCAACACTCGTACTACTTGGTGATGCAGGCTAAGCATAACAAACACACCATAATGTATGGTTGGAATTGATTCTACAAATAGGGTGTGTTTTATACTGTACATCACAGTTTCATGAGGATAGTGTAAAAGAATACACAAACTGATATTTAATATTCAGGCTTAATATTATCTGATAATATAGTAAAAATCATTGCACAATTTTTGTTACATATATTCAAAAAATATGGCTAATAAATACATAACTTGATTTTAAGAATTACGTACATAAAATTGAAGAAACTTCTGGAAAAACTTCAGCTTTTCTCAGGCAACTGAAAAGAAATCCTATACCAAGATATTTCACTTCTCCAGCAAAGCTGTCAACTGAAGGAGCGAAATTTCTCTTCAGTTGCCCGAGAGAAGTTGTTTTTAAAAATACTCAGGTTGTCAAATATACAGAGCTCTAGTAAATCTGAAATAAAAAGTTAAACATTACAAAACTTTAGATGTCTTCCGATTTACTGTTCTTCAGCTCAATTATGTTTTAATAGTCCAAAGAAGAGACTGAGCTTGTACATTCTTTGTATGGCTGAAACTTTCATTGTTAGCCACTGGTCACTTTGATGAAGTTTGTATACACCTAACTTGGTAACTGAGAATTGGGTATAATTAACAAAGTAACCACAATTACACAATCTCGATAAAATGCTAACTAAAATAGTACATGCACGGGCATAAAATTACGAGTTTCTTTAATTATGTTTTTATCTACTCTAATCCTTTGCATATTTTGAGAATTAAAGAAAAAAAGATACCATCTTATGGATAACATGTAATTAACTGTCAATTCTTCAAAAGTTTAAAACAAATTGAACAAGCTCTTGATCACTGTATTACCATTTTTATACAGTACAGCACATGAGACGTAACATACTGTAGACAGACTGCTCAACATCACAAGCAATATTGCATTAACAAATAAAAAGCTTATATGATAATTACTCTAATATACTGTTGTTAAGGTATTGAGGCTGCTAAGGCTTATTCACTTCAAAGTTTATTTGTATTTTACATGGCCAATTTTACATTAATTTTACTCTGTGTGTATCAACATTACTTTTTCAATATGTGATTCAATTTGATACAACAGTCATCACAGTTTGCTATTATATAAAAAGTTGTGAACAATAAATAATAACTCCAGTAAATTCTGAGCTCCAATTTGGCTAATTCAGCAGTAGTAGGATATCGAGGAAGAGATTAGGTCTTTCATGGATTCTTTCATTTCTTCACTAAAATTGCATGCTTTGCTGAAGAAAAGAGACATTCACAAATAGTAAATGTCATTTAACCACTTCCTTGATTTGCTCGAGAAAAACTCTGGCACCCTCCAGGTTTAAAAAAAATATTTGCCCATATATATTATGTTCAGAGAAAAATACTTCTGGCCTGTCTACGCCTATCTGGCCCTCTTTAAAAAAATAGTTTAATGGCCTTGATAAAGCCCTAATTTTGGTCTTAGGCTCTTGTGCAAATTGGATTTCATGTTTAAGTAAATTATACTAAATACGTGTAATTTACTCCAAGTCAAATGCAGTTTTACTTTTACTGGGCGACCTCATTTACTGTTACTATTACTTATTATTCAAATATTAGAATAAATTATGATAGACTACACACAACGAAAATACTAAAATGAAAAAAAAAAAAACATTAACTAAACGCAATTTACAAATAATTGAAACTGGAGTTGAAAATTAAATGAAATAAAACAAGACTCAAGTTCTCAACTTTTAATTATCAATTTCAATTCTACTTCTACCACTTCTAAATTCTACTTCTAATCTGAGTTCTAGTTCTAAGCCCTGCAAACAGTACAGTATAATAAATTATGACTTTAAAACTAAATTGTGAGATTTCTTGTTAATAAACTAAATCAGCAAATATAAAAAAAAAGTTATACTTTTAGCCTTAATACACAAAGTTTTAAATATCTTAATAAAGTCCTTCCACGTTCCAAATATATTTAAACTTACCATGATTAACACTGTAGTAACAGTATTTACTGATTTTACATCATACGTTTTTTCTCACGTAGCTTCCACGTTTACATACGGAAGTACAGTGCCACCTGGAATAGTGTTTTGCTGTAAAACGTTTTAACGTTAAAGTTTGTTGAATAACACTTTGAATACATATAATGTATAATGTCAAAATCGCAAGAGTAGAATATATACTACATTCAATTAATGTGTTTTACAAACCCATGAGACCAAATTTCTTTTAGTTAGAGTGGTTGATAGCACTCACTTCTATTCATAAGCTCTCTGATTCTAAATTTATTACATACTCATAAGCGGCAAGTTAGCGAGAAAATGGGCCATTCGACATTGGGATATTTATTTTGAGAGGCTAAGTCTCCCAAACAAGTCCTACAATATTAGCCTGTAGTATACTGTTGAATTGATGTAATATCTAGTGTAGCATCATGATCCCAACAACTTCTGCCAATTGGCATAGTAGCTTGGTTAATAAAAATATGCAGTAAATGGAATAAATTTTCTGAGTCTTGAAATTACAGAAACCAGTTTCGACATATTCTTGCGTCCTCTTCAGTTTCACGTTGTCTTTTGGTAAGAAAATTGGTCAACAACGCCAACGTGATTTTGAAATTTCGAATTTTCTCAAGGATACGGAATTTCCTTAAGGTCACGAAAATGTTTCGTTTAAAAGTGGCCTCAGGAGATGTTGAGATTAGGCAGGCTTTCGATTAAGAAACTTTCGACGATTCTGCTTTCTATATACTAATCTGTTTTGTATAATATTCTTGTTAATTCCCAATCGATGACATTAACTCATATAATGAAAAATGACATTTTTTATATTTCTATATTTAATATCTTTTATGTGTTCGTTACTTTAAAAAAGGCAAATGCAAAAAAAAAACCTTTGTGAACTTGTAAAATTATTTTATAAAGCTATATATGTTTTTGGTCCAATTTGGAGGTTTGTATAAATTAACCTGATAACACAAATTACAGGATTAATAGGAGTATAATTTAAAGGTGATGTAAAGTAAATACCAGTATTTTATTTTAACATGTAGATGGTGGTAATTTGATACATAGAATTTGGTGGAATGGATGGCTTAATGTTTAATACCATCCAAAACAATATATCTGTTCGTCTTCTGACGATTTTATTTGTATAGTCTTTAATTAATGTTGGTGTATTTCATGATTGTCGGTATCTTTCATGTACCTTAAGCATTTTTCAAAAGCAACGCGTAAATACTTTTGTGTTTATTATACATAATAACATTTTGTTATCCCCCTCCAGCGGTAATATTGCAGGTTTACGACGTAAAAAGTTGGGTTTCGATACCCATGGTGTGCAGAGCATTATGCTTAACAAAACCAGGCATTTTATTATTTTAATGGCGTACTATTCTCCAATGACGTGACTTTTATTATTATTTTTATTGCGTTTTTAATTTGTGCTTTAACTTGCATTCTGTCAACGTAATACGAATAATGGTACGGATTATAACTGTGTTAACCTTTTTCACACGGATATGTTAATTTCGTATTTATGATAGGTATAATAAGATTTGGTGTGAACTACAAGTGTATTGATTCATTGCCCAGTCTATTATTTAGACATGTTCTTTTAATCTGCTAATTTACGAAACGGATAAAAAGTTAAAAAACCTCCCCACTCCCTCATTGCTTTGCATCCCCAAAGTTCTTGACAAGCTGGCACCTACATATATACTTTTAAAGAATTAAACATAATTAATTACTCTAAAATAATTACCGTTTCCGTTTGAAATAGTTAATTGTACTCATAATATTTTGAATGAAATATAATTACTGGAAAAATTATCCTTTTTCTTTTGACAAGTTACCCTCAGCTGTAGACAAATGTCATTAAAAAACAAGGATACCATATTGGCAGAGAGTAGGGGTATAAGGTACAGAAACAATGATTTACTGGTGTCGATGAGATTCACAAGACATAAGAAGGTTCAGAACTAGTTCTACTAAGAAACACTCCATTTGTGGATTGTTATGTAATTTGGATACCTTGGTTTTAAGGGGACTTTTGAAAGAATTCTTGACAAACGGGATGAGAAAGGATTATGGATATGTAGAATTGGAGAAGCAATAGAAATACTAATTATCGACATTTGACGTCCATAGCCGCCATCTGTTGATAATCATGGTCGTCGTAGTCTTACATGTAGTTTCGAATGTGTAATTCATCAAATAGGAAAAAAAATACTATTACTTCGTATTTCATTATCTCCTGAAGTTACTCACTCGTTCCTAATCTAGGTGTGCTTATATAAATACTTCTCAATAGACTTTATACACAACAATCTTGAGTGTAACGACCATTTTATCCTGGTGGCAGTCGAGTCAGATGCGGTGACGAAGAGTTCGCCTTTATTCGATGGAAAGTATACCTTGTTGTTTAGCTACACAATGGGCTATTCACGCTGTGCCCATCGCAGGTATCGAACCCCCATTTTCGGAAAGTAAAATTTTATATTTCTTCTCAGCTTGAGAGTATACACACTGAGAAAATGGAAATAAACTATTAACAAATACTTCCCACTGAAATAACAATTAATATATACACAGCATGGTCACAATTAAATAGACATCACCTTTCAGAAAAAATGAACTTTTCCAGTCATATTCACATGAATTGTAGATCTTCCTTTCGCTTCGTGGAGTTCGTTGATCCTTTGGGGCATCGTGAGAATCATCTCGTCAATTTTAGATTGTGGGATTTTCGCCCACTCTTGCTTCAAAACTTGGAGTAGATCGCTCTTCGAAGTTGGTTTTTTGGTTGTTTCTTGACTTGCCTGTCGAGTATGGCCCAGAGGTTTTCGATGGGGTTCATGTCAGGATATTGGCTCGGCCAGGGCAATTTCTGGATACCGTTTTCTTCCTGTCAATTTTGGGTGTTTCTAGCAGTGTGACACGGTGCTCCATCTTCCTGGAACAACGTTGTGTTGTTGTCCATGAAACCCGAGGAATAAAGTGGCAAGAGTCCTTCCTCCAATATTTCGACATATTTCGCAAAATTTATGTTGCCAACGCATTCCACTAAGCTCGATCTCCCACCAACCCAAGCAGCTCCCCCCAAACCATCACGCTGAAACCACCATGCTTCACAGTTGGCTGCAGTCTGTTGAGCCAAAACTCTTAGTGAGGCATTCT